GCACTCGTCCTGACATATGCACTGCTTTGGGGAGCCCGAGCTGCTGGCAGAAGGGCTGGCTCCTGAGGTGCTAACATGCCTCTAATCTCATACGCTTGCCACTGCACCGACATCAGGGCTACCATGTATTTAGTGCTTACTCTGCGTTGGGCACTGTGCACACATTTCTTTCCCACAGCCTCATGGCCACTCCATAGAGTGTTGTTTCTCTGACTTGGTGGGTGCGGAAACAGAGTCTCCGTCAAGGTCGCAGAGGGAGTAAGTGGCAGAGGCATGGTCTGCAGCCAGAGCACTCATCTTAGAAGCCCAGCTCTTGACTCTGCACAATGCTGCCCCGCCAAGACAGGGGAGAGAACAAGGGCTTCTCTTTGGCTGCTGTTTGTGAATTTGACCTTGATGTTCATATAGCCAGACTTTACCTGAATAAACACATTGAAGGGTGGAAGTTACGGTTTACTTCATCTCTCCCCTCCCGCCCACTGCCATTCCAGAATTAGACCCCCTGATCCTATAGAAAGACAGTATGGAACCTGTGTTTCAGCACCATGGACAAGAACAAAGTCTGGCTACTCTGAGGAGGCGGGGAGAGAAAAGCAAGGCTGGAAGGAGGCGGGGCCCTGCGTCTGAGGGCGGGGTTGGAGGCGGGGTTTGACTTTTGCGCTAATGTAATGGGGCTGGCACATCTTGGCTGGGTCTCTTCCGCCCCCTTTCCATCTGCGAAGGTTGCCTGGGAATCCGGTCCCCCTCCTGCCTGCTCTGACTCCCGCCACTGGCTGCCTCGAACGGAGCTGGGCTCTCACGCAGTTTAGCAAACGCTGGGCTGAATTCCCGACTTTCAAAGTCTAGGTGTGCTCCACCGAACACACTCACCCTTTGCACAGTTCAATGAAGTGTGCACACCCCTGCACACTGATATTTTCTTAAATTGTGAATATACGTGGGTCCCACTTTGGGTAAATCTTACGTATGAAAGTCCGAATTATTTACAACAAAAGGTTTAGAGGAGGATTCATGGACCCCCAGGGGTTCATGGACGGACTTCCAGACCGTCTCAGAATTCTCTGGATGTGTGCAATTTTTTAGTGACTGTGTGTGTAAAAACAGGTAAGCTTTTCATTTTCTGAGGAGCAGTGTAGATGCCCTTTGATTTTCAGTGGGTTCACAAGGTTGAAAAAGTTATGGGAACTTCTGGGCTGAAAGATCACCTAGCTGAGGGAGAGTTTTCCTGTTTGGGGCTGTGGGCCGTCAGTGTGCAGAGTCAAATTCTAGCCTCCTCATGCCTGTGTCCCCCCTACCCCTTCAGTGCCTGGGAGAGCAGCTCCTTTGAGCCCCCTCCCTTCCTCATCTCCTGCTCTTTGAGTCTCTGTTTGGGAATGGAGACGTCTGCCAGTCCACACATAATTTGAGTTGTGACATGCCAAGCTCACTAGCACCCCTAGTGATCTGTAATAGATTTCATTGTAAACATTTGTTCTGTGCACACATTTTTTTAAAAAAAGCACTTTATTTTGTGGAGCCCGAGGGTCAGAGTGCAAGGAAAATTATTACTCCAAAATACGAAGAGAACCCATTTGCAAGAGGTCGTTGAGCCCTGCATAGCACCGAAGCCTCTTTTGTCAAATACCGTCCAACTGCAAGTGATTCTTGCAGTGCCAAGGGCTTTGGGAGGTGCTGGGGCTCCCAGTCTATGCTGGCCCATGCTGCTGCCCTGCGCATGGAGGGTGGGTCTTTGGAACCATTGAGTGTTCGGGGCAGTGTGTCCACCTCACTGCGGTTCCTAGGGCCCCTTGTGACGTGCTGCACCAGGGTCAGGGCTCAGGCTGGCTCGCTGTGGCCCTTAGGCTTGCTGTGGTCCAGGACTGAGGCTCAGTTTGAGACCTTGGTCACGTGCAGTTCAGTCTGTGGTAGGTGTCAGGGATCCATCGGGGCCCAGGATCAGGGCTTGGTCTGGAGTCAGGGTAAAGCCTCATGTTAGGACTGCAGTCGGGGCTCAAAAATCGGGACACAGTTTATTGCTGGTATTGGGGTTCCGTCTAGCATTAGGATCGAGGCTCAGCTGCAGGTGGAATCCGGGCCGGACTGCACCTCTTTCTCAGCTGAGTCACGTGGCCTTCTTCTCCACAGGTGCCCAGGACCCCACGCCCAGGGGCGGAGTCAGCTGACAGCAGGCACTTGGTCACCAAGCACAGCAGGAAGGCCTTGAAGGCCAGCCTGACCCTGGGCGTCCTGCTGGGCATGTTCTTTGTGACCTGGCTGCCTTTCTTTGTGGCCAACATAGCCCAGGTAAGGCCGCTGCAGGGGGCAGGTGAGTCCGGGCCTTGCTGGGGAGGCCCCCTCACCTCTCCGCAGCCTGTGTGTGGGGAGGGAGGACCGTGGGCTGCCTCTCATGGTGTGTTTGCATGTGTCTGTCTTGGCCATGCTGGGTGGGATGGTCTGTGTTCCCGCCCCCGAACCAGGAGTGATGTGTCCCTTCCCTCCAGGCTGTGTGTGACTGCATCTCCCCGGGCCTCTTTGATGTCCTCACATGGTTGGGCTACTGTAACAGCACCATGAACCCCATCATCTACCCACTCTTCATGAGGGACTTCAAGCGGGCCCTGGGCAGGCTCCTGCCGTGCCCCCACTGCCCCCAGGAGCAACGGGCCAGCCTGGCCTCCCCTTCCATGCGAACCTCCCACAGCGGTGCCCGGCCGGGCCTGAGCCTGCAGCATGTGCTGCCCCTGCCCCTGCCCCCCGACTCGGACCCCGACTCCGACTCTGGCTCAGGAGGCTCCTCAGGCCTGCAGCTCACGGCCCAGCTGCTGCTACCTGGGGAGGCCAGCCAGGACCCCCCACCGCCTGCCAGGACACCTGCTGCTGTCAACTTCTTCAGCATCGATCCTGCGGGACCCAAGCTGCGACTGCATCCACTCGGTACCCCCACAAACTGATCCGGGCTGGTAGCTGGTCAGCAGGGAGCTGGACTAGATAGAGCCAAGTCCCTAATGCCTTGGGTCAGCTCTCGGCTGTGGCCAGGAGACTGCAGGCCTCTTGGGCGCCCTCTGAACTCCAGTGGAGCGCACTGAATCAGCCCCATACGCCCGCAAGGTCCTCCACCTGAGGGGTGATGGCTGGCTTCCACAGTCTTCCCCAGGATGCTGCGTTGCTGAGTGGAACTTGTGGCTGTGTGCAGAGAATGGTTGGAGGGCTGGGGGGCAGGGGAGGGAGGAGGGAGGGGGTCTCTGGATTAGGATTAGGGTGAAGACAGTCTCCTCTGCACATTCCATCAGCTTGCATGGGAGGGAGGCCTCCGTCTGCAGAGGCGGGTTAGTGCAGGGCTGAATCCCTCAATCCTCTGAGAGTTCATGGACCCTCAGATCAGCGTGACCCCTGGGAGTTCACTGAAAATGCACACGTCCGCCCCTCACCCCGGACCTGCTGAGTCAGAATGTGCAGGTTAACAAGGTCCCTGGGGACCTGTGTGAGCATCCAAGTTTGAGGTGTGTTGGCTTAGTTGATCTGCAGCCCCTTGGATGTGTGTGGCCTCACCAGAACCCCTGAGGCTGGGAGACTGGCAGGCCTACATTGGAACCTCTGCTTCACTATCTACGAGCTCGGGCACAGGTGCTCAACCTTGTTGAGCTGTTACTCCATGTACAAAATGGGATCACGATGCCTGCCGGCCTCGTAGGGTTTCTTGAGAATCAGGGCAGGGGCCATGGGATGCCTGGTACCCGCAGGTGGTCGGTAGGTGGCACCTGCTATTGTTACGGCCATTCAGCACCCTGGCCTCCGGGAAACAGTGGGGACCAAGGGCTGTGTGTTCCCACTGCTCTTATTCAGCTTCCTCCTCTTCAGCCCCATAGCAGCTCCCAGGATACCACACTGCCTCTCCTGGGGCCAAGGCGTGGCTGGTGACTTCCTGCTCACCATCTGCCCTGGGCTTCCTAGGACAAGAAGGGAACCAGCTGATGGGGACAGAACCGTCCCCTTGTCCTACCTCCTTCTGACCTTTCCTGGGTCAGGGAGGGAAAGGGGAGCAGTGCCCGCTCAGGCGGGCGGGCTGAAGAGGAGCTGCCCCAGGTGTCACCTGATGTCGTCGGCAAGTGAACCCTGGTACAGGGGCCTGGCTCTTTTGCAGGCAGGGGAGGACTCACTTCCCACACTTTCCCGCTCAAGGTTCCTTGTCGGTCTGAGGTTTCCCTTACCCCCCACTTGCACTGGGTTCCATGAACCCAAACCCCCGGGTCCTCCGCGGGTGGCCCGGCGCCCTCCCTGGTGCTGATCAGACTCAACCCGGGCCCTGGCCGCTGGCCCCAGAGGCACCGTGGTGCTTGCTGGGATTGCCCTCTGCCAGGGGGCCTGCTCGAGTGGACACTCAGTGAACACCGGCTGGGGGCGGCCACTGCAGGGGGCACTGGATCCGCCTGGGGGCCACTCAGGCCGCTGGAGCAGCAGCTGGGGATGTGGGAGGAGACCCTGGGCACAGGTGTCTTGGGTTCTGCTTCAGACGCTGCCCCTACTTTGCTTTGGGACCTCAGCAGATCACTTTCCCTCTCGGGGGCCTCCGTTTTCCACGGATGACATTAGCTGTTTGGATTAACAGCAGCAAGATTTCTTTGTTTGTCGAATAAACAAATATACACGCCCCCGAGCACCAGCTCAGCTCCAACACTCTCACTGCCCCTGTCTCTCCTCCTCCCCGCTGCCTCCTCCGGAGCTTGTCAATACTGTCCCTGCCTGGGCCTTGATTTCCCCATCTGTACAATGGGCGGGGGATTAGCCCTGGTCCTGTCGTTTGGGGACAGAGGGAGGAACAAAGGGAAAGGTTCTCGGAGATGTAGGTACAGTGGCTGAGAGCTGGGCTCTGGCGGCCGACGGACGAGTTGGAGACCGACCCGCTGTGTGGTCCTGAGCAGATTACCTGACCTGCCTGGGCGTCAGTGGTGTGAAGTGAAGGTGATGACCATGAGACCATCCCTGTGAGCGCTCTGGGAGCTCCATGGTAAACACCCAGTAAATGGTAGCCATTGCTCCTTTTTATTTCCATCACCACCTCTGTTCCTGCTACAGGAAATCCTTCCCCCATGGGACCCATTCTTGCTACTGGGGCCAGCTCCTACCTGTACTGCAGGCAGACTTGCGGTGCTGTTACAATGCCATCCAGGGCCACGGTGCAGCACACCTTTGGGGGCGCCCTTCACATCACGTCTGTGTGACTGACGCCCCTGTGGCTGTGCAGTACGCAGCCATGGCTGTAAGTGGCTGATCTGACTGGGACTCCCAGGACAGAGAGGGAGCTGCCTGTTCCTACTGGAACCTGTGGGCTGGTGGGCAGCCCTGGAGTGGACGGGAGAGCAGGCAGACACCTGGCTTGACTGAGGCCGAGGGAGAGTGGTGGGTGGGAGCCTCAGGGCCGGGAGAGCCCCCCGGACCTCCAGGTGGACGGCCAGATGTCACAGCTGTGACCCCGGGCGGTAGTCCTGGGCTCGCAGCTGTGCTTGGTTGATCCACAGGGCTGGGCTTCCCCACGGGGCGTCCGTCGTCTCCCTACAAGTCTCCCTGCTGTCAACTCCATGCTTTCCAACCCCAGAGCCTTCAGTGTAGGGAGGGCACTGGTGGAAGTTCTTCAGAGCTCCTGCGGAGAGCCTGGTGGAGGGAGCAAGAGAGCAGCAAGGCCCATGGGAATCTGGGAAGACGGCTCGAGTCCCCTTTGGGGTCAGTCCAGCTCTGGGCAGGGCCTCTGGGCCTCACTGGCGCAGCTGGGGCAGCCCAGTGGGTTGGGGTTCATGCCGTGGCTGCACGTCTGGGGGCTCTCGGCAGGGCAGGCAGCAGCGGGAAGGGAGGCCCCTTCGGACTGGTCTGGCCCCGTTGGCACCTGGGCTTGGCTGAGGTCGTCAGATGTGGGCGCTCTGGACGTGTCTCCAGGTGCTGGACCCTGGGTTTGCCCATCCTGGTCCGTGGTCTTGTCTGCTGAGGAGGTGGCTGCTGCCTGGCGAGGTTCCTCCCGGGGCGGGCTGCCTGGGGCCAGCAGAAGCCCCTTTTCATCCCAGCCTGGCTTGGTGTGAATGCCTACGGCCTTCAGGATGGCGTCCATCTGCTTGGCGTAGTCCAAGTGGCCGCTGACCTGCAGGGGAACAGTGGGTGTGGGCCAAGGTGGACAGGCAGAGCCCCACCCTCCCCAGGGCCCCAAGCTAATCTCCTGGGCTTCACCTTCTCCCCCAGTCGCCAAAGTCCCGACACCTGCTCTCCATGACTCTGAAATGCAGACTGGAGTGGGAAGTCTCTAGGTTCAAGGCTGCTCTAGAACTCGTTAGAGAAAGACAAAGGATGTTCCTGTACAAAATCTGGGCTGATAGGGTGCGGGAAGGAATCTCCTGATGGTGGGAGCAGAGGTTCTCATTCTGTCTGCAGCTTTGGGTCTCAGCAGAAGGACTCTGTGGCTCACTGGCTTAAGGGCCTTGGGAAAGCCTCTGACCTCCAATTGCCTTGCTCAGCTGCAAAATGGGGACCGTTAAGTGCACTTACACCAGAGGGCTGCCGTGAGGTTGCGGCAAAGCCCTCAAACTGGAAATAGCGCTATGGCACAGACTGCAAGGTACCTTCCACACTTCACTCTCCCCCTTTTCTTTAGTCATAAGAGCTTCAGCTTACAGCTGGGTACTTTTTTCTCCTGCAGCAAAGTGAGGCATTGTGACAAGTTCTGGCCAATGAGATGAAGGGGCAGTATTAGGTGGTGCTCCCTAGAGGTCTCTTTAAAAAGGAAAGAGCTCTTCTTTTTTCCCTATTTCCTCTTTCCCTCTGGCTGGAATTCAGACATGATGGCCAGAGCTTGAGCAGCCATCTTGGGCCATGAGTTGGCCCACTAAGGTCCACTTGTTGGCTTGCAAAGCAGCAAGACGGGGGGAAGAGTGTGGCCCACTAAAGCAGCCCTGGACTGCCAATTCTGGCCTTTTCAATGACGACATTGACTCTTGTTTGTTTAAGCCACTTCAGCTTGGCCTCTGTTACGTGGACTTGAACCTTCACTAAGGACAAAGGTCCAGAACTCAGGGGTGTTTATGCTCTTCCTCAGAGAATCCTGACACCTCCGTTCTTGTGTTGGGATGTGCCGGTGGATGAAAAGTAGAGGTGTGATTAGAATGCTGGACGCCTGACCGTGACAATGGACAACACTCAACACACAGGGGGGCCTTAACGCACTGCAGAAAATGAACCTATGGGGTCTGGTCTACTCCTTGACAGGGGTTGGCTGCTAAGTATAGATGAAGAAATTGAGCCATTGAGAAGCAAAGTAAGTGACTTTCCCAAGGTCACGCAGCCAGGACGTGTCAGAGCTGAGGTCTGAATCAGGTCTGTTCTCTTCACAGAAAATCGGTGAGTGGGAGGAAATTTTAAAAGTCATTCACATTTTATAGACGAGGAAAGTGAAGCCCAGAGAGGGGCAGGCGTTTGCTTAATGACACAGCCTGTGAAGAGCAAGGCCATGAGCTATGCTTGCGATGCTGTGGGCAGAGGCCGCTGAGCTCAGCTGTGTTCCCAGCCACAGCGCCTCGTGCTTTTCCAGCCCATCCGGGGGGTCGGAGGGGAGCCCAAGACACAGCATTCCTGCAAGGCCCAAGAGAAAGGTGCTGCTCACAAAGGAGACAGGAAGACCCTGGGAGGCAGGTGTGAGCGATCTTAGGAAACGACACACAGGCTTGGCTGCTGCATCTGCATTTCCATGTGATCACAGTGGGTCCTGCAAAAGATTTGTCAGGAGCACAGGAAGGGAGTTTGCCGTGCGGTTTTGTTATTGTCTCGTGACCCGGACCCGCCTACTTCTTGTTCTTTTCTTTCCCAACGTTTGTGAACAGTTTGGTGATACGACACACATGTACACACACAGGGGCTTTCAGATCCCCAGGTTCGGGGTGGGGGTCAGGGTGGGGAGCTCCCTGCCACGGATGTTTTGAGTGGCCACGTGGCGTGAGAAAGAGCCTAAGTCCGGGACCTGAGAAAGGGGTTTGGTTTGTGTTTCTCTAGTAGCTGGGTGGGTCCTACAAGGTCCGAAGCCCAGCTTCCCTGTCTGTGAAATGAAGATGGCGCCCGTGCTAAGTTCTAGAAGCCAGCTGGCATTTCCTTTGAGACATGAAGAGTTCAAGACCCTGGGCTGGGTCTCTGACCCCAGAAGCCTCATGAGCTGGCCCCCTGGGGTGGCAGAGTCCCCTGCCCACAGCAACGCAGTCCCCACACGAGGAGGCAGCCTGGCCTTTGTCTGCTTCACTCACCCCAAGTTGGCCCTGCCCCTCACTCACTCCTGGCTCAGGCTTGTCCTCAGGCCAGGAGCCGCCTCAAGCCATATTTGGGGTGTTTGGGGTGGACAGCTGGCCTCTGAGGCGATCCACAAAGGGCCCGGTCCCTGCAGGAGAAGGCAGGCCCTGCGGGTCTCCGCCCCAGAGCGGGGCAGCCAAGGCTTCCCCTAAAGGCAGTAATGAAACTCTTTTGCCAGCAACCTCTCCTCCAGCAAGAAAACAGGAGAGAGGCACAAAGGCAATGCTAATTACTCTAATTACCCCAAAGAGGAAAGCACTGCTTTTCGTGATGTTCTCCTAATATGATAAAGAGCTATTATTAGGCGAGAACTGGGAAGCTGCCATCAAGGCAGGCAGAGGAGGGAGATGTCCCGGAAGCTGCTGGTTCAAAGGGAAGAACCGAAGGTGGTGGCAGGAGAGGAGGGAGCTAGTACTAAGTGAGGGCCTACTACGCACCAAGCACTCCACATGTGCCGTCCTGGAAGGTAGGTGATTTCCTCTGTTTCACAGATGAGAAAACAGGCACAGCGAGGTTAAGCAACTGGCCCAAGGGCACACAGCCAGAATACCAGTATACCAGCGGCCAAGGCAGGATTCTAGGCCAGGCTTCCCCGGTGCCAAAGGCTGTGCCCTTCCCAATATATCCCATTTAGAGGCCTCCTGGGGCAGAAGCTGGATCTTGTGCGGGCTTGTGGAATTTAAAGGGAATTTTCATTTAAAAGGAACTTTCAGCTGTTCCTCCTTCTGGCAGAGACTCTTGGGTGGTGAGGCACAAAGTCACTTCTCTTCTTCCCCAGTTCAGGATGAGGGGCCCTTAAATAGGACACAGACCCCTGGACACGCGTCAGGAGGCACCACCCTGATCCTGCGGTTCCCGGTCTCGTTACCCAGCTTCCCCTGCTCCCACGTTCCCCGCTCCGCGCCCTACAGTGGCACAGCCAGGCCTTCAGGTGCTTCTGCTGTGGTCTGGCCTGACTTCCCCCACCCGAGTCCTCTGGTGATGTCTGGGGAAACAGACTGTCCTGACTAGTCATCTGGGGGGTGGGGGAGGGGCGGGGACACTGGGAGGGGAGAAGAGGGGGCTGGGGCAGTAATGTAGGAGCCAGAGCATGGACTTTGGGGGTTCGAGTGCAGGCTATTAGCCGCTAGCTGTGCAATAGAGACTTTTCTAAGCCTCAGTTTCCTGATCTGGGATACGGGGCTAGTAAGGCCTGCCCAGAGGCTGCGTGAAGGTTAGTGGTAATTTGGGTAAAGGGCCCAATGACAAACCCATGGCACAAAGATGGGGCCGAAGGTAGGAGTCACCTCTCCCCAACAAATGCTGCGATCTCCCTCCCCCAGGGTGGAATGGGCTGGAGCTAGTGTCCCTGGGGCAGGGGCTTGCTGGGCTGGTTAGTGAAGTCCCCGCCCCCACCCCACAAACGCAGAGCCCTGGGGGGCCAGGCGCTGGGACTCACGATGGAGGACAGGTCCACGTTCTCCACCCTCCTGTCCTGCAGCTGCACCGGCTGCAGGCCGGCGACATGGAGCTGCACCGAGGACGTGCGGTACACGAAGCTCAGCAGCCAGTCTCCCCTGTGGGCACAGAGAGGGCGGACATCAGCCTCGGGAGCCCCAGCACAAGGGCGGGCCCCGCCTGGCCCGGGGAAGTCTGGTGGGTCCCATGCTTCTGTGGGAAACCAGGGCCCTGACTGCACCGTGGGGTGGGAGCGGCTGGGACCCTTGGGGGAGCTCCCAGGGCTCTGCTCTGCTCCCTGCTGGGTCCCCAGAGCAGAGAACAGTGCCTGGCGTGCAATAGGTGGGTTTCCAGTGAATGGATGAATGAATGAGGAAGCTGGATGAAGGTCTCGATAAGTCTCCATGTGGAGCAGGAGAGCTGCTATCGGCTCCGAGGGGTCCTGGTTCCCTGGGGGGCCGGTCCCGGGCTCCCCGGAAAGGAGAGAAAGGCAGCACGCTCCTGCTGGGGCAGAAGACCATTGGAACTGGGGGGCCACCATGTTCTCCCAGGTGGAACTCTGGGTCTAGTCCCCATTTGTGAGCTGAGAGGGCAGCTCTGCCCTGAGCCCAGCCTGACCTGGCCTTCTGGTCTCCCTGCCCTTGGCTGTCCCAGAGGGGGGGAGGATGGCCCGGCAGGTCACAGCCCTGGGAATGCTCCCCTGCTTTCATGGGTGCCATGAACCCCATTCCCTGTACCCACACACCCTGGTCAAACACACCCCTACACCAGTGAGAGAAAAGAACCCTGGACCCTCTGCCGCCTGTTGCTTCAGGGGCAAGAGCACTGTTGGTGGAGCACCGGTCGGCGAGACAGCCGTCCTTCTGGAGCCCCCGCGCTTTGTCCTGGGGTTAAGCTGGGCCGGCCCAGAGCCATGCACTTGACCTCACACTCGGCAAGCCCTCCCCTCTGCATCTGGGACTTAAGTCCGACTTAGCCCATCTGGTTGTCTTCTGTTTAGACCAGTTCCACGCTGGTGTGAGTGGCGACTTAGTCCACTCTTTTTGTGTGCTTGTTTGAAAGAAGGGCTGTCCCTCACCGCAGGGTTGGGGGAGATGGCTGAGAGTCAGTTCCCCAGCTGTCTGGGGCCCAGGGTGTGGGGGGGCTCTCCAGGCCCCCACCCAGGGAGCCCCTAGAAGGACTGGCCCAGAGTTGAGGGGCCCACTGCTGGCCCTGTTGGGGCCCCAACTGAGCTCACCAGCCCCTGACTCCTCCACCGTCACGGCCCCGCCCCTCAAGCAGGGCAGTGTCTCGGGCACCTATTTCTCTGTGCCCAACTTCCCAGAGTCTTGCTCATCCCCTCCCTCTCCAGACCCAGCCCTGAGGTCAGGTACCCAGCCCCCCAAGGACCAACGCCACTGCCCTGCTCACCCTGCATTGGCCTCACAGCCCCCGAGCCACCATGGCCTTCCTTAAACACTCATCTGACCTTGACCCCCACTGCCTGCAGGCTTCCTCTTCTAGAAAACTCCTCAGTTGTTTCCAGAGAGCAATGCTTGCAATCTTAACATCAGTGATAATCTTAGTATCAAGCACTACCTCTCACAAAGGGGGGCAAAGGGGGGAAGAAGGGAGATCGACTCAAGCTGTGTCACTGAACTAACCCTCGGACTCAGGTACATCAGATGCTGGCACTTGCGTGGTCCATGAGTGCTCCTGATGTAGACAGTGACAAAGGAGCAAAGTCAGAGTCTCTCCTGCGCAAACATCTGCCTCAATTACGGCCACACTCTACTTAAGGCGTAAACTGCACTTACACACGTCTAGGGGGCAGGACAGGGACATGTGCAAGAGGGTTCCATATCCTCTAAGCTGTGCTGAGCGAACCACAGGGCTCTTACTGGCACTCGAGACCCTTCACCTGCCCCTCTTGCCAGCGTGGGCCACGGGGAGCCAGGTCCAAGCCCCGTCTTGTCAGTTACTAGCTGTGTGATCCTGGGCAAGCTGCCTGACCCCCCTGAGTCTCCGTCTCCTCTCTGGCTGGGCAGGTGAGTGTGCAGAGCTGGTGTGCCACGTGAGTGCCCGCGGGTGAACCCGGGCACTCAGGAAACGTCTGCTCCCATTCCACGTCCCGCTCAGGGCCTTTGCGTGCAGGTGGCCCTCCTGCTTGGCCTAATCTTCTAGTCCCTGATGGGCTTCTGTCCATCCTTTCAAAATTTAGCTTGGATGTCGCCTTCCCAGGAACTGCCCCTGAGCCCCTCCCGCTGATATTATTCTTCCTTTGCCCCTCAGGTGCCCAGAACATGCTCCTTTTGTGACGTTTGTCACATGTCCTCTGGGTGTCTAGTCCTGGCTCTTTTCCTTATTCTAGGCAGGGCTGTGCCTCAGTCCTGTATCCTGCATCCTGGACTGTATCGGGAACTCCCTGGGGCGGGGCATGCCACGCCTGTGGCCCTCCAGGTGATGCTGATGCTGGAACCTCACAGCTGAACCCTCGATTTGCACTCACGTGGCATGAGGAAGAGTGGTCCTTGGCTACTCACAGGCCTGGAGCCACTTGTGGGCACTGGTCCTCCCTGCTCCTCCTCCTACCATCACCTCCTCCCCGCACGGGACCCGGAGCAGAGACCCCCTGGGGGGGCTCAGAATGAAACGCTCTCCTCCTGCTGTGGGCCCTCCTGACCTCACTTCCTGGCTCTGCTGTGTGATCTTGGTCAAGTACTCGACTCTCTCTGAACTTCAGTTTCTTCACCGTACCAACATGGAGCAGTCCCACTTGCTGGCTAGCTTCCAGGGTGTTCCCAAAAGCCCAAGTAAGAGAATTTGCATAGAGCTTTGTGAATACACATGATAAATTTCTAAGTGCACACAGGGGGGTAGTGTTGGCCCGAAGCTCCCCCTCCCCCCTCCCCCCTCCTCCACAGTTAAGTGGGCTCATGGCAACTACGATGCCTTCGGGAGCCAAGAATATGAATGTCTGATTGGTGCTTAATTTACCAAGAAAGTGCAGTGATGGTTTGGGTCTGTTATGTTCCTCTCCTCTTCTCTCCTTCCCCTCCTCCTTCTCCTCCTCCCTTCTCCCTCTAGAGAAATGGCCCAGGATTTCACAAAATAATTGAAACACAAGCTTATTAGTCTCAAGTTCTCAATAGAACAGATGGGTTTAATAAGGTTTCGTTGATCTCATACTGCACACATGCAGCTTGAGTTCCTTCCTTGCTGTTTATGAAAAGCACCAAAGTCACGTGCTATGTGGACAAGTCCAGTAACAGCGCTTCTAACTGCTGCTGCCTAGTGGGCACCTGCCAATGCAACCCTCTTCCTACAAAATCTCACTTGATTTTCCTAGAACCCGCGTGCAGAAGGGACTATGATCCCATTTCATAGGCAGGAAGACTGAGATTCCGAGTTGTTTGTCCAAAGCCACTACTCAATAGGAAAACGGTGGAGCCAAATTTTTTTCTCCACATCTGAGGACATGTATTTATTGATTTGAGAGAGAGGGAGAGGGAGGAAGGGAGACAGGGAAAGAGAAACACTGACTGGTTGCCTCCCATACTTGCCCTAATCAAACCCGCATCTAGGTGTGTGCCCCGACTGGGAATCGAACCTGCAACCTTTCTGGTGTCTGGGACAAGGCTCCAACCAACCGAGACACCCAGCCAGGGCAGTGGAGCCAAAGTTTTTACTGAGGATGGTCCGCCATCAAAGGTTGGTCCATTCTTTTTCTTTTATTAGTTTTTAAACTGTCCTTACCTAAAAAGTCAAATTAAAGTCTTTCATGCCCTGCCCTGCTTCCAGTGCCTGTCCGTTCCTCAGCGGGGGCACCGCCATCAGTCTCTGGCAGTCTCTGGGCCTCCCGGTGCATCCTCAGATGGGCTGGCTGACGGGCACATACACGCATGCACAGACACCCCCCCAACCCCACAATGAGACTGCGGTATGCACAGCGGTATGCACAGCGGTGCTCATTTTTTCTCCCCTGAACTAATCCCCTGTTTATGGTCATTTAGGTTGTTTTCATTTTTTAAAGATTTTATTTATTTATCTTTAGAGGGGAAAGGAAGGTGAGAGGGAGAGAAATATCAATGTATGGTTGCCTCTCGTGTGTCCCCTGCTGGGAACTGGCCTACAACCCAGGCATGTGCCCTGTCTGGGAATTGAACTTCGATCCTTTGGTTCGCAGGCCTGCACTCAATCCACTGAGCTACGCCAGCCAGGGCTAGGTTGTTTTCATTTTTTAATTGGAAATAAAGCTGCAACTACCCAGTTTTTACAGCTCTGTCTGTGCACGTGTGTTTCTAGTACAATGCGGATCTTAGAAGTCAAATCTGGGGGGAGGTCATAAACTTGGCTCGTTAAAAAATTTGAATTTTGATAGATATTGTCCATTGTTGAGATCCCAGGGGGAGCCGTGAATAGCATTCCTCCTTCACTGATGGAGAAATCGAAGTCAGCATGGGGGCCCAGGTCCGTGTGATCCCACATCGTGAGTTCTTGAACTGTCACCCTGTCCTGCTTCATCTGGGGGCTGATAGGCCCAGTACCTTCTCAGGCCCATCTCCTGAGGTCTCAGTGGTGGACGTCACCTCTCTTCTTCCCCCACGTCTGGGGCACAGCCATGGCCGTGGCCCCTCGAGCTCCCTCAAACCCCAAGCCCGGTGCCTCCTTTCCAGCCCACAGCTGCCAGCCGTGGCAGGCCACCCCCCTCTAGCTGGAGGTGTTTCACAGGGTGTGAGCGCGGGCTCCCCCATCGTCGTCAGCTCCCGGCTCTACCGCCTGGCCCTGCCCTGCAGCCACGCTCTGGGGCCTCAGCCTCCCCCTTCCTTGTTCCTGCTAAATGAGCACACTTGAGCTCCTGTGGGCATCGGGGGACCTCCCACTCGAGGCCTAATCTTTGTTTTCCAGTATTTGTCCCATTTACCAATGTCCCCCTCCCCCCAGATCACGGTGACAAGCCTGTCTCTCCTATAAGCTGGTCTCAGGCCTGACACTGAGAGACCGTTTTCAGGATCTTCATTCTCAGGGGATAGAGGCTTCCCAGTTCAGAACACTGACAGGCCAGTGCCCCTGGTCCCTGTGTCCCCAGCACAGGCGCTGCTCAGTAAGGGTCACCTCCCACTGGCTGGGGCCGGAACAGACCTGCAGTAGGCGTTGATGATCCTCCCGGACACCACCTTCCGGAAAGGCTCCCAGTGCTTGGCTTCTCCTTCCACGGGCGCACCCAGCAGGACGACGTCCTCAATGATCCCCTGGCAATCTGGTGAGAGACCCAGAGAAGGATGTCAGTGTTCCTGGAGGCAGTGGTGGAGGAGATGGATATCACACATACATGTGCACACACACATGTGCACACACACCCATGCATACGCCCATGTGCACACAGTGACGGGGCTTCCACTTCCTGAGTTCTAGGCCCTGGGTGAATCCCCTCATGTGCCTGAGCGATTCCTGCAAAGCACCATTATCCCAATTTTAGAGTTTAGAAAAACCAAAGACATTTTCAAGATCACATGGCTAGTAAGTGACAAAGCCGGAGTCAGGACCTAGACTTACTCCCACCATTCAGGAGGCTCACTGCTGGCAATGGACTTGGATGGGACGCCTTCCCTTGGAAGGAACTGACAGGCCCTGGCTCGTCACACCACCCAGTGGGAGACACCACAGCCTTCCTTGGCAGCCGTCCCCTGGGGCCTGTGCAGCGTGGAAGTGAGGAGGGGACAGGTGACGGGGTCCTGGGGCAGGGAGTGCACTCATCAGCGACACTGTTTTGTTTGTGGCAAAATTATGCTCAGAGGCCGAGATTGCCTCTGCCAATAAATTATTTAACACAGGTCCACTGTGGGGATTATAATTTATAATAATACTTCACAAGCCAATAGCACACAAGATAATGTCTCTTAATAAGCCAATCAAGAAATAACATCCTGTAGCCCTGGCTGGTGTGACTCAGTGTATTGAGTGTGGGTCTGCGAACTGAAGAGCTGCCGGTTTGATTTCCAATCAGGGCACACGCCTGGGTTGAGGGCCAGGTCCCCTGGGGGCCCCTCCCCCAGTGGGGGCCACGTGAGAGGCAGCCATGATGTTTCTCTCCCTTTCTCCTTCCCTTCTCCTCTTTCTAGTAATAAAAATCTTAAAACACACAAAAAAAGAAATAGCATCCCCCAAAGTGATGACAGGTTGGTTACATTCTTGTTCCAGGCAAAGGGGAGACGAAAGAAATAAAGTCTGGATTTCACTGAGGTGTAATCTGCTTGGCTCAGCCACTGAAGAGCTGACGTCTGCCTGCCAGCACTCACTGAAAGTCCCTTGGTGCGAGGGTGTGATGCCGGTGGTAGGACAGCGCCGGTGCTGGCGGGCAGGGTCCTCTCCTTCACGGGCCATCGCTCGGTCTACACGACTGCCGGTGAAGAGGAGCCTGGCACAGGGCTGGGGCTAACGTCCGAATGTTCTGGGAGAGCTCTTCAGGTCAGCGGAGGGGAGCCCTGCCCCCTTCCCAAACACTCTGGGAAGTCTCCCCAGACTCTTGGCATTTCGAGTGTAAATGTCCATTACATCATCTTCGCTCTTCCATTCGTTTGTATCCATACACCCTCAGGAGCAGGACAATTCTGACAATGGTGCCAACGAATTCATCATTAGATCAAAACAGCTTCACTCAAGGTATAAACAGGTGGATTGGAAATCCTAGCAAGCCAAGAGGCAACAGTGACCTTATGGTTCAGGGATATTTTAGGCCAGGGTTGTTCAAAGTGCAGTTCGGGGCCAGGACTGCTCCACGGACTCCGTGTCCTGTAGAAGCCGGGAGGAGGCACGTCTTACGTCAGACTGGAAACCAACAGTTCACAGAAGGGTGTGCACACCACACTTTGAGAAGTGTGGCTCCGGACCAATGAGCCCCCCATACACACGCACTCCCGCTGCCACCCCACACCCGTCTCTATTCCTTTACTCTGCCGCATTTTCTTCTTGCCACACATCACTTATGTCTGTCTCCTCCTCTAACATCTAGGTTCACTGAGGACGGGTGCTTTACCTGCCTTATTCATAGGTGCATGGGCTTAGAATAGTGCCTGCTGCATACTTGGTACTCAGTTGACATTTAAATGAATGAATGAACTGCTATTCCTCAGGAAAGCCAGTATAAGTACTTTGCAATTAGAAAGCCCTAGGTTCGAAGTCCCCCCATCCACCACTTCCTTATGATTCTGAGTTCCTGCACATCTCAGGAAGCTGCCTGCTGCCCCCGCGGGGGAATGGGCCCAGGAGGGGGCAGCTCTGCCCAGCTTTGCCACTCTCTTGCTGGGTGACACAAGACAGTGGGCTTCCTCTCCCTGGGCTCCAGCTTCTCACCAGAGTGCATCTGTTTTCTGTGTGGGCCTCTGTGTCAGAGTTTGTCTGAGTACAGTGTTCAGGCTGACAGGTTTGAGAACCCCCGTGACACCAAGCTCTCGGAGCCCTGCGCTGGCTCTGCTGCTGAACAGTGCCGTAGCACTGAATTCTGACTTCGCTCCTCTCGCTTCCGGGGAGATGACCCTCCGGTGGAAGGGTGTAAAACCTCTGGAAGCTGGAGGTTTGTTCTGCACAGCAAGGCTGACTCAGATACCTCTTGATGCAAGGGCTATTTCAGGGGATTGTTGCTGGCAAAGCTGTGGGAGCGAGGTTTTATTCCAAGCCCTTCCCTTGGACGATGAGGAAACTGACTCTCAGAGGGGATGGAGCGCGCCTGAGGTCACACAGGTGGTGGGAATAAAGCCGGGACCAGCGCCCAGGCTGCACAGAGAGCTGCCGGGTCCCTGAGGCCAGGCTTCCTGCTCTTTGCAGTAACAGCACAAAGCACAGCGACCGCATGCCGCTTATCATTGCTCCCACAGAGCCAAACGGTTATCAACCCAGGGCCAGGGCCAGCGCAGCAGCTCCCTCTGGGGGCCGGTCGCTCAAGGCACCTGCTCTCTGGGAAGAATCCAGCCTCTGGTGCCAACACCGGGAGGGCTGGGACTCCTTGTGGCCAGAAGTGGTAATGCAGGATTCCCGATGATGTCTGTATCTTTTGGGGGTGATGGAAATGTGAAATTGAGGTGTGGTGGTGCTTGGACAACTTTGTGCATCTGCTAAAAAAATCACTGAATTGTACTTTGTAGTATGTGAATTATACTGCGGGAAAGTTGCATCATTTCATTCCTGAGCTCAAAACCCCCCACAGCACCCATCTCTCATGGAGTAAAAGTTAAAGTCAGTGCGATGGCCTTTGATGGCAAAGCCCTTTGTGACCTTGACCGTGCCCCCCTCCCCCCACCCACTCTGCCCCAGCCACAGGGGCCTCACTGTTCCAGAACATGCAGGCCTTGTTCCTCTTGCTATTCCCTCCTCCGGAACGCTCTTCCCTCTGACATCCGCAGGCCCCCCACCCCCTCCTTCACCTCTCTGCTGAAATGTCACCTTCCAAGGGCAGACACACGCAACCCCACCCCTACCAGGTAGGTGCCCATCTCCGAATTCTTCTGCCCCATCGCATTTAAGGCCACCTGACTGACAACCTATTTCACTTTTAAAAGTTTCACTTACAGTCTGTCTCCTACTAGCATGTGGGCTCCCCAAGGGCTTAGCTTGTTCCTTTTTGTGCTCACTAGCGAATCCCCAGAGCCCGGAACATCGCCTGGCACAGAGGCTGTGCTCAACAAATATTTGTGCAACGAACGGAAGCGAGCAGTGAAACTCAGCAGCGTGAACCCTTCATCTGAGAACAAATGCAAAGGGATTGTTTTTTCTCCTTCCTTTTCTTTTTCTCCTCCTGCTACAATTGCTCCCCAGTGGCCATAGATGGGGATCTGCAAAGACAATATCAAAGCAAATGAGTGCCTCCTGAAGGTAAATGGAGGGGTATTCAACCACTGCCCTCAGTTTCCAGAGCTGTGCTGGGGGTGGTGGTGGGGGTTGATGGTACCGTGGTCGACTGCAGCCTGCAGTGGGCAAGAATAATGAATGTGCTTTCAGAGCTGACGCTGCCTCAGTCTCCTCCCCCGACCCTGCCCCCAGACCATGTGATCCAAAGGCTCACGGCAACTCTCCCAAGGAGGCCTGACGTAAGCCCTATTTATAGAATTCCTTGGCCCCTGCCCACAGCCTAAGAAAGCTCAGGGTCTCCAGGCCCTTCAGCTGACTGTGGTATGGTTCAGGGTGCCCACTCTCCGGGGGCAAAGATCCAGAGTGACTTGGAGGGTCTCCGGAGCCAATTAGGTGCCTCGTGGCTCGCACATCAGGTGTCGGAATTTTAAGACGGCGGATGTTGGTGGGACTCACAGGATTTAGGCAGCATTTGGTTACTGCTCATTTTCTCAGCCAGGAGGCAAAGCGTGACTACCCTGCCAGGCGCCAGCCTGTGAAGACGTCGCTGGTAGGTGGGGCCCACGTGCATGAGGACGTTGGGAATCACCGGCTCAGACAAACCTGTGTGCAGGGCCTGGTTTGCTGCCCAGTGAACTGAGCTCAGTTATTGAACAGCCCGGAGCCTCGGCCTCCTCGTTTGTAAGATGGAGGTGATATAATCGTGCTGATTTCCCAAAGCGGGAGTGGGGGTGTGAGTTCAGGGCAGTGCCTGGCACCCGGCTTGGCCCCTGCTCGGCTCTGCTTCCTTGTTATTCCCACACAGGCCGTCAGTCTGGCAGCTGGGTCGGAAAGGTGTGTGTGACGCGCTGTCTCTGGGGACGGCCCCTCCGGGTGCCTGCTTCTGGCCAGCCACTTGTCAGTCGCAGGCACTGTTTCAGGAGTTTAGCATCGCTGGGTGATGGCTGGCAGCTGGTGGTCGTGAACGGGAGGCTTGGTCCCCTTTGGAGCTGAGCCTCTGCAGAGAAGCAGCTGACGGGCGGTTAACTGTGGTTGAACAATTGGTCATTTTGTCCCGGCTGGTGTGGCTCCGTTGGTCGGGAGCCATCCCACAAAGCGAAAGGTTGCCAGTTCAATTCCCGGTCAGGGCACATGCCTGGGATGCACATTCGGTCCAAGAGGCAACTGATCGATGTTTCTCTCTCACATCCATGTTTCTCATCCTCTCTTTCTCCCTCCCTTCCCCTCTCTCTAGAAGTAAATAAATAAACACGTACATACATACTAAAAAAACATCGCCTATTTCTAAAGACATTTGAAAACTATGGTAAAACACACACACAGAATTTACCACCCTAGCCACTTTCAGGCGTGCGCCTCCGAGCGTTGAGTGCATTTGCGTTGTTGTGCAACTGTCCTTGTTTACTGGTATCCATC